AGAAAGGAGCTGCTTCAGGAACGACTAAGATATCCCGCCTTGAGGAACAACTGCACTACTTTTTCTGTAAGGAACTAACATTTCTGGCTCACTTGGATTGTATTTTGCAAAAAGGAACCAAGAGCATCCCAATGTTGCTAAGATTGTGCAACTTTGTTTGCCTTGCAAATATACACAGATTATCTTAAATAATTTTATCTTTACTCCCAATAAACTATAACTTAAAGACGAAAATTACCTTTGTAAATTTAATTGTTTGCATAATTTCAGTAATTTTATTGAATGAATATTAGATGCAAGATCTTAGCAAAATTGGAATGCTCTTGGTTCCTCTTTGCAGAATGCAGTCTACTCAAGAAACGACGTACATGCCATAAGTTTCCCGATGCAGATGGGGGCTTCCATGGATGGGTGACATATTTTAGTTCCTCATTGCAAAATAAAGTGATACTATAAATGAAGCCTCCTTACTTACTTGGAATAGATTCGGCAACCCCTGACGTGCATTCCACGTCTCCGTTGCCGGAGGGTGAATGACAAGGAAGTCACGGGGGTGGCTTGTTTTTGCGGCGCGCCCTCTCCCCCTCCCCCATCTCGCAGCTCGAACCCCGAAGATAGTCCGGCAGGACCCCTCAGGGTAAAAACAGCTTACTCCCGTCTTTTTTATCCGGGGCCTGGGATGACGTCATATCGCGGTTAGACGCCAGGCCGTTGACAAATCACCAGATCCGTGATGACACCAGGCAGACAAAAAGTCCGTGGGTTTTTTTTCTTGGCTCGTTTTTTACTCGCAGCGTGAGGTTGACCATGTGATGGGCCATTAAGCGAGGTAAACCGCTTAGCCATTTGGACCGCGTTGGGCAGAAAGGAACTAAGCCACATCAGCTATTGCGGAATTTAATTTTTTTGTTTTGGATTCCTTTGAAAATTTTAAGGCATTTGCTACGTGCTATGCAGAGAATGGAGATGTTGCATGTGTGAGGGATTCGCAATTTGACCAGTGATTCTTATGTAAAAGTTCGCGAGAAACACGATGGTGCCAATGGTTTTCTCTGAAATCAACTCCCAAGCTCAAATAAAGCTCTCAAAGTGATGCCAAAATGGAGGGGATATCCCACCCTACCCTGAGAGTCCACCTCTGCATTAAAACAAACTCTCCATGCTAAGATAGGGAGCAAATACATTGGCAGTGATGCCGTGTTTTCAGTTTTGGAGTCCCCAAATAAAGTGGCAACCCTGCCAATGTATTTGCTCCCTATCTTTGTATGGAGAGTTTGTTTTGATGTAGAGGTGGACTCTCAGGGTAGGGTGGGATATCCCCTCCATTTTGGCCTCACTTTGAGAGTTTTTTTTGAGCTTGGGGGATGATTTCAGAGAAAACCAGTGGCACCATCGTGTTTCTCGCGAACTTTTACATAAGGATCAATGGTCAAATCGCAAATCCCTCACACATGCAACATCTCCATTCACCAACATTTTCACAAAAATCTGCACGGCCGTTTTCATGTCGACAATTGAATTGCCCAATAAAATTTGGCAATAGCTGGTCTGGCTTGGATCCTTTCTGCTTAACTTGGTCCGTATAATGCGACATCTAAGACAGGGGTATACACAGCAATGCCCCGTAGATTGGCTGTGAAACAATTTTATTTCATTCCTGCGGGGGATTGCAAAAATTTCGTTTCATTGCCCCGCACTATAAGTTTTATTGCAATACCCCGCATCTTGCGGAGCAATGAAATACCAGTTTGTTTCATGGGGCAATAATCTGCGGGAGATTGACACGTAATCCTAATACAGAATTAGCACGGTCACACTCTTGTAAAATTTGGATTAATCGAGTCATTTATGCAACCTTAAAATGGAAATAGTTGCTTCATCCAGGAAACGACAAATTCCACAAAAGCTCATATAAAATAAAGGAAACGAGTTGACCACACATGCAAATTATTTTCACGAGAAACTAAATGGAGACACAAAATCTTTCAGAGGGAAAATTTCAGCGGAGCTTTCAAAACCACGCGAAATTTAAACGAGGAAGCATTATTGTCCCCGTGCTTAATTTCCCACTATATCTACCGGTCCATTTTCGCCCGTAAGTCAAATTTCGCGCCCGTTTTACGTTTCAACCGCCCGCACCGTCCATAATTCACAGGACGCTGCTGCATAAGAGCCCTGCCGTGTTTCTCGAAAAACACGCGCCGACATAGGGACTCGCATTGGAGATACGCGGGTTTGCACCGGCCGTTAAAACTCGCGTCGCGGATATAAAATATAGCCGAAGCAAATCAAATTTGTCCGCCGGTAAACACCCCCGCTCGACACGCGGCGTTGTCGGTTCCCCTCGGCGTTAACGTAACGCTGAAAAACCTCGGAATTCTGAATGATGCAATACGTAAGTTGTGCGGTTTCAACGCGACTGCCTGGGATGATGAAATGAATGGGTTTTGGATCCTCGTGTGCGTATAACTCACGAGCCCTAGAATGTGAGTGTTTTAATGGGGTTTGTGGCTCATTGAAAAAAAAGGGATGCGAGGTTTCAGCATGAACCGGTTGGAATTGGATAACGTCGCTCGGAAATTGCCGCGGAATTGGGTTGCGCGGGACCGGGACCTCGGCAATTATCGAACATAAAATTATGCTAAGAACTGTGTTTGCGCTAAATTAATGTCGTTAACGAGCCCTTGGAAGGCGGGCGGGAACGATAAATTTGAGACCCGCAACACAGGGTCCTTTTGGCCCCTCCCAGTTAATTCGGGGGTCTCGGCGTACAGCGCGGTAATGCTCCTTTGTGGTTGGCAACATTGGGTTTTCTCCATTTAAACCTGGGTTAAAAAATCGATTTTGAGCGCTTGGCCACACCGAGAATCGATTCATTATCATATGGATTGCATTTTGCAAAAAGGAACCACTAGCATTGCAATGATGCTAAGATTGTGCAACTTCATCTTTTGCAATAAAATTGCGGAAATCGTGAAAAACTATGAAATTTAGATGGTAATTTTTGTCTTAAATTTACAGTTTTTAGCGAGTAAAATAGAAACTATTGATGGATAATCGGGTTTTTCCTCCAAGAAAAAAAAAGTTGCACAATCTTAGCAACATTGCAATGCTAGTGGTTCCTTTTTGAAAAATGCAATCCATATGTAGGTTTAGATGGAGAGAGAATACTGCTGCCATTACTTACTAGATCCGCCAAAGTCCTTCGCTGGGAAAAATTAGTGCTCCTGACTACCAAAGAAGTGAATAGTAGTGATGTTCCGTAAGAGATCTAGCGTTAATGCTGAAGCGCTATGGAAAAAAGCCGTATGAACTTTCGAGTGTTGCCAAATTTCCCTCAATGAAATGTTCATTTTTGAGGAAAGTTATGAATATTTTTCCTTTAAATTTTCAGAATCTTTGGGTAAAATTGTGAACTAATTTATCTGAAAAACTGGGAGTAGAATATTCATAAATTTACCAGGAAATTCGCGTTTTGTGAAAGGAAATTTGGCAAAGCCTGAACGTTCATACGGAGTTTTCCCTTGGCATGGCAGAATGGTGGCAATACCCAATAACAGTGATATTTTTACCATTAAAAGGACGTTCGTGAATGAATTGCTGTTAGGCTAATTTCGGTTTAGGTAAATTTAATTTGTCAATGAAAAGGTCTGATTCAGAGGGGAAAAAGAGCCACGATGCGTTTGTGAAGTTTTTGTGAGAGTGAGAGATTTTTAATCCAACAAACCGTTCAGTGCCGAAGCGTAAATGATCGATTATCGATATTTCCCCATTTGAAGCTATGGTAACGCAACGATTGTTCGTACACCCTGCTAGTCGATCCTTTTCTATAGGTTGAAATAGCAGATCAATCGATTTATCGCAGACCACGCCACGCCACTGAACCAACCACTCCAAGGTGTTTTCGCGAACAGCATGAACGCGTAAAGCTGAAGTAAAAGTATTTGTGCCCGAGATGAATCTCCGATATTCCAGTCGAAAGCCAGGAAATAATTTCTTGCATCAACTATTTTGATAAAAGCATTCGTAAACTCTCTAGCTGAGTCTTCGTTTGAGTTTAAAAGTTTCTCGTAGCAAGAAAGTGCGGTCGAAAATGGCCTCTCGAGAAACGCTTCATTCTGCAGGAATTTAAGGAAAATTCCCCGTCTTTAAACGAGAGTACAGAAAGAATCCTCTTTAAGATTGTCTGTGAGCTATGAAAAGAAAAGTTAAGAGCACTAGGAGAGAATGAGATAGTTAGAGAAAGCCATTTGATTGATTCCCACGAAAATAGAGAATTTACTTGCAGGGTTTACTCATTTTTTTCGTTTCGAAAATTGATATCATCAGGAAAGCGCATAGGTTTTGGTCGATTACCATTTATAGCCAAGCTTGGATGCTTTTCATCGTCATTACTATACGGAGTGCAGAAAGTTCTAGGCCTTCGCATTTTTTTGAGGTTGCCTTCACAGTGCTGTCCACATAAAACTTGCGCTCTTCACTGTTTCCTCCGCATATACTGGAAAAAAAACACATTGGATCTAGAGTCCAGACTCTTGAAAACATTGAAAAGAAAAAGGACTCTTGATTCAAGCAGATTTAAGCTTAAATCAAAAGAAAATCCGCTCAAATTAAGAGGCTTGGTTTTTGATTCAAGCAAAAATCCGATTGAATCAAGAGTATTTTTTCTTGTCGATGTTTTTAAGAGTATGGACTCTTGATCCAATGTGTTTTTTTCCAGTATACGGAGTGCAGAAAGTTCTATTCCTTCGCTTTTTTTGAGGTTGCCTTCGCATTTTTTTAGGTTGCCTGTACATTTTTTGAGGTTGCCTTCACATTGCTGTCTACATAAAACTTGCGCGCTTCACTCTTTCCTTCGCATAAGAGAGCGCCTTACACAGTTTCCTACCCAAAAACCTATGTGCTTAGCTGGTCCATTGTCCATCACTTTGTCTATTCATTTCAAGAATCAGACCACTGGAGCGTGACCAGAAAAAACGGCGTAAGAGAAGTGAACTCACCGATCGGAGCCCGACGAGATCACTGGTGGTGAAAACCAGGAGTCCGCCATGGATCCTCCTGAAGAACTCGAGGACGTCCGGAGACGGGGGAGGGTAAGGAATATTGCTATTGGATACGGGGGTGGTGCTGCTCGCGTTGGTCGCCGGGGCACGGACGGGGACGGCATCGGCGGGTTGCCTACCCCGGTGGTCGAAGGCGAGGCGGAGGTGCGGCTGCGGGGAGTCGGCCAAGAGGTCCAGAAGCAGGATCGAAGCTGGGAGCGCCCCCCGCCGGGCCAGGGATTTGAAGAGCCGCTGCGACAGGGCCTCGCCGAACGGCATGCAGAGGATAACACCTGGAACAGAGAAAAACACAACATGAATTTTCCAAATCGACAATCTTTTTCGCTGAGTAACCGAAAGACTTTGTCTCCACGGGCCGTTTCACGGGATTTGTCCTAGGGAAAAAGCTCACTTGCAAAGTTGGGAAACTCAATATATTTCCCAGTACTAAGTATGGTCCTTGTACCCCTAAGACCCACTGAGAGAGGAAGAAGAAGTGTAAACGAATTGTGTGATATTTTGTTGATTACTCCATTGTTCATGTTTGTATAGTTAAAGTTCTAAATGTCATTTGAGTGTAATTATTATTTTAATCCTGGTTAAATACTCGACTTTAACTAATTTATCTTCTTGCGCAAACTGGTCGTAGGACTGTATGAGCCTCGTCCCGTGGAGACGGTAACTGGGAAAAATCCCAGAAGTTTCATTCCTGCGATTCAAACTTGGGACATATCCCATGAAAATCCCCCAAAAAAGATCCAATATGTTTTTTCCCCCAGTGTTTGATGCTAAAAATACATACATTACAATATTAAAGATTTTACATTTATGACCGCCTCCGAGAAAAGTGTCGCTCTGGGTTGAGCTGTTTATTCCTAAGTTTACACAAGACAATCGTAATTTCTAAAGACCATTCCAACATTAGACACCTCTGCTCGGAGAGTTGAGCGCTCTGACGTAGATGTACAACCAAACAATTCAGTTCAATATTTACCCTATTGTTTGAGACCATCGCCTTTTTAATTCCTCCGAAAATTGAAAAAGTAAGGCGACCATTCAATTCGACTCTTTTATCCCGCTTTGTGTAAACATAGCTCGGAGGCCATAGTAAAAAAACGAGGAAAATTAGGCGAGGCCAAACTCGTCTCCTCGTTGACGAAACAGCCCAACCACATTTTGACGCGAGCTTGGTGGTTCGTATAACTCCGTACTTTTTAGGGCTCGCGTGGAAACGACGTTACGTCTTTTTGAAACTAAGGCGAGGAATTCAAGCTCGGGGATCGAAGAGACGGCACGCTTCATTAAATCCTTCCCGTCAGGCTGCAGACTTGAAATTCGTCGCTTGGCTGACACAAGAGCGTAACTACACATTGAGATGAGCCCGGAAAAGCATTGAATTATATGGAGGACAGAGTTCATTGCCGAATGTAGTTACGCCCTTAGGTCAGGCAGCAGAGTTGAAATTGCTCGAAATTAATTGAGGTTCTCAGTCACCAACTCGAGAAGTTCTGACACCGCGTTGATTTTTAAAACGCGGCCTGGGCACAATTTTTCATCGCGGCCTAGCGAACTGTCAAACTTACACCGGAAATTCGACAATTTTAGCTATGGGTTCCGAAAAAGGATGTAAATATTACTTCCACCTGACAACAGCTTTTAATGAATTGCCGTGTTTATTGGAGAACTGAAGGTAATACATGCTCTCCGCACGGGATGTTTGAAGATGATGAATTAAGAAATGGGCACGGAGGAAAAAAATTCTTGCTTACCGGAACCGACAAGTTCAGAGGGAGCTTTTCGATACAGAGCACTTGGACCCTATAGTGGCGCGAACCAAGATTTAGTTTAATAATGTACTGTACACAGTTACACTTTCACTTTTACAATGTCACGCTTCATCTTCAAAGTCGCGACCGATTTTCAATTTTGAAAAAGTTCTATAGCATGGATCGAGGTTTCAGAATCTTTGGGTAAAATCGTGAACTTAATTATGTGAAAAACTGGGAGGAGAATATTCATAAATCTACCAGGAAATTCACGTTTTCTGAAAGGAAATTTGGCAACGCCTGAAGGTACATACGGCGTTTTTCCTTAGCATGGCAGAATGGAAACAATGGCCAATAACAGTGATATTTTTACCATTAAAAGAACGTACGTAAATGAATTGCAGTTATGCTAATTTCTGTTTAGGTACGTTTAATTTGTCATTGAAAAGGTCTGATTCAGAAGAGAAAATGAGCCACGATGCGTTTGTGAAGTTTTCATGAGAGTGAGGGATTTTTAATCCAACAAACCGTCCAGTGTCAAAGCGTAAATGATCGATTATCGATATTTCCCCATTTGAGGCTATGGTAAAGAAACGATTGTTCGTACACCCTGTCTGTCGATCCTTTTCTGTAAGTTGAAATAGCAGATAAAAAAAAAAAAAAAAAAAAAAAAAAAAAAAAAAAAAACTATTAGAATGAGTCGATTGAATTGACAAACTAGACGGAGACTTGGCGGCGAGGTGCGTTGAACTTTCCCCTCTAATTAAAATCACCGGCTGAGCTTGCCGATGCCGGGCGATTAGTTAAACAGCTTGTCGCGCGACGTTACAAAAGCGCGGGGGAATCGGCGCGGTTTTCTTGCTCCCCCCGCCCTTGGTGTCCGCTCCGTCTCCTCTCTACTTCTTCTTCTTCTTCTTCTTCGTCTTCTGTCTCGGAGACCAGTTGAACTCCTTTTCGAGTATTGATTGAGCACGTCTCATTCCATAGAAGATTAGTCCGGGCCGGAGTCAGCAACGAGTCGTATGACTCGCGGCTCGGAGGTGGAAATTTGCAACTTCCCCATTTTAATTGGCGAGGGTTGTTCATATTCTAGAGGGTGCTGTGTTGTTACGTTGGCATTCTATTAATGGGCCTCTTTGCGAACTTTAGATAGAGCGAAAGGAAGAGTTGTTTCATGTAGAATTTGGCTCGAAAATCAGGATAAGCCCGTCGGAAGAGTCAGGGATTCACTCTAAAATTCACAATTTGCGTAGAGGTCTCGACACACGATCAAAATCCCGAACCAATTACCATCAAAACGTCGGGAGTCATCAGTCTTAAAATCGTTACTTCGCTTCATTTTAAAATGAAAACTTGGGAGAAAATAACGAGTGGTCGGCCTCCTGATGTGTAGAGGCATAGCACTTGTTCTATGGTCGGGAGACCCCGAGTTCGATTCCCGGCCTGGTGACCCGAGTTTGATGGTCGCAAACAACGGTTACCTGGGGCTGGCTTGATTAGGGATGGAAAGAGGGTGGGGCTGTAGGGACTATATAGCGCAGGATTACTCTCGTGGGATTTGAAGAGTGTAAAAAAAAAAAAAAAAAAAAAAAAAAAAAAAAAAAAAAAAAAATTGACGGCCTGTCCAATTTTGATCAAAGAGAACTGTTGAATGGTTATCATCAGTCACCAACCGGTCTTCTTTGATCAGATGTCGTTCGGAATTTGATCGCATATCGAGATCTTAGGAAATGAGTGTTTTTTTTTCAGCTTTCCGCTTCAAAAACTATACTACGGCATAGGTGAACAGGGGGGTGAACTCAGGTGAACATTTCGTGTAAGAGGGGTCGCTCTATCCAACCACACTGGTATGCCACGCAATATAGGTTAGGTATAACAAAGCTGACACTTTCTCGCGCAAATCGTAAGGATGCACCGAGGTCTTCATCAACTCAAGGAAAATGTAAATATAAACACGCCGATTGATGACATCTCATTTCGTAACGTGGCTTGCATTTTGCAAAAAGGAACCAGAAGAATTGCAGTGATGCTAAGATTGTGCATTTTCGTCCTTTGCAAAGAAATTACTGAAACCATGAAAAAATATGAAATTCACATAGTAATTTTTGCCTTAAATTTACTGTTTTTAGCGAGTAAAATAGACACTGTCAATGGATAATCAGGTTTTTCTTCCAAGACAAAAGAAGTTGCTCAATCTTAGCAACATTGCAATGATCCTGGTTCCTTTTTGCAAAATGCAATCCACGTGTGTTTTGGCAAGATGGCGTCAGCCATTATAATATTGCGTATAGCATCTTAGTGCGTGAGGGTTGGATGGAACGACTGATCTTACAAAATGCTCACCTGGGGCGTTGTATCGTTTCTGATGAGGGAAGCCTAAAAAACGCATGTTTCTCACGCAGATTGTGAAGTTAGTCCGAAAGATAAAGAAAGCGAACAGCACAAAATTAATATCATATCAAGTGTACTGTTGGTAGTTGGGGGGAAAATGTGAATTTCTGCAAAATTCAGAGGGATTCATAAATCAAGTCACAGTATTGTCCGTTAATTTACGCAGGTCTTTGAAAAATCCGGAGAAGCTGTAGTGCATTTGCAGGGGTACACGAGTCTATCTTGTTCACGGGTCGAACTATTGTCCTGAGAGCGGTGAAATGTCCGCTCGGAACTTGACAGCAACGTTTTCATCCCGAGAGTCGGACGCGAGACTCCTGAGCTCTTCACTATTCCTACTCAACCCCCCCTCCCTCCTTCCCATTCGACCCTTCACGCACTCAGCCATCCAATTCACTTCGGCATACAGTGGGACGAGCCACTTTCGATGTAGACGGACGTGAAATTTTCGACTAAAACTGCAAAGGAAGGGTATCGATAAAGGCCATAATTGGACTGCATTTTGCACTTTGGAACTATCAATTCTGGCTCGTCTGAAAAAACACTTGTATGCATAGGGGAACTAATGCTGCCGTGATAGCGAAGAGAGCCGTAAGTGCAACATTTTCGAAATCGAGTTTTCTTCAAAATTCGTCTCAACTCTTTTAGATGAAATTACTGAGACAGCTAAAACAGCAAAATTCATTCTACTTTAATGAAAACGAGACGTATGAGAAAGACGTAAGTGCACAAAAAATGACATAGTTTTTTTCAAGACAGCCGCAGGTGCATGAGAGCCAATGAAACAGTGCTTTCCAGTAAAGTGCCGCCCTCCTCTGCCAATTTCTAACCGGAAAATGTGTTTGTTCTGCGTCCATAAGCAACCACAAAAGCATGCAGAAGATATCATGCGCTATCATGATATATGGCTGTCTTGCCTAACAATAACCTAGCATGAAAATGAAAAATACCCTTTTTATGAAATGGAAATAAAATCGGTCGATTTTTAATCATCCATACGATTTCTAGGAGTCTTCTAGACGATTAGTGGCAATTTGACAAAGAATGGAGGCTTCTTTCAATAAAATGTTTCGGTCAGAGGCTTCTGAGCCCATTTTCTCAGAACTTCATTTTTGCACTTACGGCTCTCTTCGCTA